AGCATGAGCCACATCACAAGCAGGGGTGTGTCACACACACACACACACACACACACACACACACACACACACACACACACACACTCCATGTTGTTATTTAAGTTTTTTACGTTCATTAAAATGCAGAATCACACAGAAGCAGTATATTTAAAAAGCCATCATTTGCATCAGCCAGACCGACAAACAGTGTCCCCCACTCAGACCTGGTTCCAGCGGTGCACCTTGGAACCAGGTCTGAGGAAAAGGCTTTTTATAGCACCTGGTGACAGGACCTCTACCCATAGGGCCCAGTTGGGTTCATCTTGAATGAACTTCATGAGTTTGTCTTCCTGTGGACTTGGACAAGCCACACAGTATGTCCATGTTTCTTGGGGCAGTGAGTCGGACCCCTTCAGGGTGGGAGTTGAACTCTGCAACCAGGGCTGCTGCAGGGGTTGTAGGGAGTCTGGCTTGGTGGTCTCAAGAATCCCTCTGTGCAGATGACGTTGGTGTCGAGCCTCCAAATTCACATCTTCTTCTGTAAACAAGCGCGTGCTGCGTGTGACGTCATGCCATGTTCACTCAGAGTCTGATGCAGGTCCACATTAGAACGACCAAAAAAGTGGATTTAGTGGAAGTGCACGTGCTGTTGACCTTTCTTCTGGTTATTCTCTGAGAGTTTCGCAGTGAATCATGACATATTTTGCTAACAGACAGAATACACTCAGACAGAACAGCTGTTTTCTGCATAGTGTTTACATTCAGCAGCAGGACTCATGACGTAATTTATTTACCTGCGTCACGTCGCTCTCCGCTCCGAGGTAGAGCCGCGGGAGGATGACTGACAGCGGGGGTCGATCTGCATCTCCGTCCCGGGACCAGACCATCTGCAGCAGAACCACATTTATTCATGCAAATATCCCATAATATGCAGCGCAGAGTAAGCATCTGCAATGCAGAGAGACCTGCATCTTTAATACTCAAATCATAAATAAAAACTGTTTTCTTCCTCATCAGTCACGTGCACGCTCTTAATAAAACCTAACATTTTACCGTGGTGATCCTTCTGGAAGTCTTGATCTTGCAGGAGGTTCCGATCCGGTTCYGAGCTTCTGTCCGCCTCAGAGTCGAACTGCCCCGGTGCTCAACGATGAGCTCATCCTCTTTGCACAGCAGTAAAGGATGATGTCATCTTCAACCAATCAGCGCTCCGCCCGCAGGACTTCCATCTGCGCAGGCGCTCCTCCCTCTCTCTCTCTCTCTCTCTCTCGCGCACGCACACACGCGCGCGCGCGCACTGCAGCTGAGTTGAGCCATGCCCTGCAGAGCCTCACTACCTACAGCTTGAACAAAACTATCAGCCCGGTCACGTGATGTGGGGAATTGTATATATGTTTATGAAATATAATGTGTCCTCACGTAGCCTATCCATTCACACAGCACTCTACTATATCACTCTAATAATGTACATAAATCATTCTAGAGAGACTAGTCAGTGCTTTAAATTATATTCACACATCAGAGGCTGTGGGGGTTCAGCGCCTTGCTCAATGACATTTTGTGTGACTGCATATATATATATATATATATACATATATATATACATATATATA